ATGAAATGGATCAGATGTTCTCCAGGGAAATACACAATGGATACCTTTACTGTGAATTGATCTAAAAGGGATTTCTGCAGACTTCACCCCATACTTATAAAAAATATTTACTTCAAAACTAGCCCACATCTCCTGGGCGATGCCTGGTCAGGGGGAGTTTGGGTGCAGCTCCCTGTCCTATTTCTACACTTACTCCTCTCTTTCTCTTATTTCTTCCCTTACTGCTCTGCATATTTTCTCCCCTGATCCCTTACACCCACCTATTATGTTGTTCCCCATAAACTTTCTAATGAATCTCTCTCCCATCTATCTGTGTCCTCTTCCTGATTTCCCCATATGTTTTCTATGTCTGGCTGATGGTTTTAAGTCCTCTTGTGGCCAATTTAATGCTGACTGCTCTAAAAAAGGAGCTACCTTGTATGACACTGGTCTCACAATCTCTACTGTTACAATCTACAAATGTACAATCCACAGGTTGCCTTGGAACAATGAGACACCTCAAGTGGAATGGCCAATACATAAATCTGTGTTGTTGCTCTTACATTAACAGATAGTAAAACTTTAGAAGCCATGCTATTTTTTTTTTAAATATGTATGTATGTACGTATGTACAGTATATATTTGTTCATAATCCTTTCTGAATGTATTGACGGCTGTTTATGGTCTGTATCTTTACTATTACTTAAATCAGTAAAGATTACACATGAAATAAAATATTCCCTGGCAGTAAAACCAAGTACACATGATGAGAAAATCGGACAGAAAATACCGCTTTCAGAGCGATCATCCGATACTCCGATCGTTAGTACACAGCTTTTGAGCGTCGGTCACAATAGTTCATGCAAAACTATATGAAGTGACAAGCTCGAAAAATGTTCTCGTATGGTACCGGAACTAACAAATTTTCATTTAATCAGTACAGTATTCATTCGAAAACAGTAACCAAGACCGCGCATGCTTGGAAACAAAAGAATACATTACCATACAATATCACTTCTAAAGTTTGTACCCTGTCTTATGAGAATTTTCATGACTTTATTAACCTTTTCATTTTCGATATGAGACTAGCATGCAAGAAAAATAAAGACAGACGATCATTCGCCCCATATTCTTATCATGTGTACGGGGCTTTAGCATTACAGTATGTGATGCGTATTCAACTATCAACAGACAGGCTCATCATCAGCCCCTTTTTCAGTAAAAAAGTACTCCAATATTTTTTAACTTCCTGGTGCCAAGCAGCTCTTTAGTATTTGGTACATTTGCACATAAATATTTAGATTTTAAGGCAAACAATGTGCGTTGTAACATTGTTGCAATGCTCAGTGCTCATTTCATGTTGTAGAAATTGCTATTCAAATACTGGCTTGTGTTAAGATAAAACTACTGAATAAGAACATTATTTCTACCAGGTATCGGAAAGGATTTGAGCTCCAGCCATCCTTGTATTCTGGAATTAATCTTGCTGTTTTACTTATTGTTGCCGGACAGCAATTTGACACATCTATGGAACTACGGAAAATAGGTAAATATTATACATATTAAAACATTTGGGCTGTTGCTACTAATGAGTTTGAAGAAAAAATGACTGGTTACCTCCACTGTGACCATGTGACCATTGCTGAAATGTGATGTGTGTGCAAAATTCGTACAGTCCATTTAAACACTGAAGGGATCCTTTTTGAACTTGTCTAAGTTGTTTTGACCAGTTTTAGAAAATAAAAATAACTACTCATTAATATCAGCTGTATATACTTAGGCCTCATGCACACTGGCCATTTTTACAGCTGCACCTAGGGGCATCTGGTGTCCTCTTTTCCTGCCTCTAAACTCCCCTGTGTGTTAGCCTTTGTGTCCATGCAAACATACAATGCCTTGAAAAAGTATTCATACACCTTCAAATATTTCCACATTTTGTCATGTTACAATCAAAAATGTAAATGTATTTTATTAGGATTTTATGTGATAGACCAAGACAAAGTGGCACATGATTGTGAAGTGGAAGGAAACTAATAAATAAATAAATATCTGAAAAGTGTGGTGTGCATTTGTATTCAGCCCCCTTTACTCTGATACCCCTAACTAAAATCTAGTGGAACCAATTGCCTTCAGAAGTCACTTAATTAGTAAATAGAGTCCACCTGGGTGTAATTTAATCTCAGTATAAATACAACTGTTTTGGGAAGCCCTCATAGGTTTTTTTGAGAACATTAGTGAACAAACAGCATCATGAAGACCAAGGAACACACTAGACAGGTCAGGGATAAAGTTATGAATAAATTGAAAGCAGGGTTAGGTTATTAAAAAAAAATTCCCAGGCTTTGAACATCTGATGGAGCACTGTTCAATCCATCATCTGAAAATGGAAAGGGTATGGCACAACTGTAAACCTACCAAGACATGGCCATCCTCCTAAACTTAAAGGCTGGGCAAGGAGAGCATTGATCAGAGAAGCAGCCAAGAGGCCCATGGTAACTATGGAGGAGCTGCAGAGATCCACAACTCAGGTGTGAGAATCTGTCCACAGGGCAACTATTAGTCATGTACTCCACAAATCTGGTCTTTATGGAAGTGTGGCAAGAAGAAAGCCATTGTTGAAAGAAAGCCATAAGAAGTCCTGTTTGCAGTTTGTGAGAAGCCATGTGGGGAACTCAGCAAATATGTGGAAGAAGATGCTCTGATCAGATGAGACCAAAATTGAACTTTTATTGGCCTAAAAGCAAAATGCTGTGTGGCAGAAAACTAACGCTGCACATCACCCTGAACACACTATCCCCACCGTGAAACATGGTGGTGGCAGCATCATGTTGTGGGGGTGCTTTTCTTCAGCAGGGACAGGGAAGCTGGTCAGAGTTGATGGGAAGATGGATGGAGCCAAACACAGGGCAATCTTAGAAGAAAACCTGTTAGAGTCTGCAAAAGCCTTGAGACTGGGTGGAGGTTCACCTTCTAGCAGTACAACTACCCTAAACATACAGCCAGAGCTACAATGGAATGGTTTAGAACAAAGCATGTGTTAGAATGGCCCAGTCAAAGTGCAGACCTACATTCAATTGAGAATATATCGCAAGACTTAAAAATTGCTGTTCACAGACTCTTAATCCAATCTAACAGAGCTTGAGCTATTTTGCAAAGAAGAATGGGCACACATTTCACTCTCTAGATGTGCAAAGCTGGTAGAGACATCCCCCAAATGACTTGCAGCTGTAATTGCAGCGAAAGGTGGTTCTACGAAGTATTGACTCGGGGGGCTGATTACAAATGCATGCCACACTTTTCAGATGTTTATTTGTAAAAAATTTTGAAAACCATTTATCATTTTCCTTCCACTTCACAATTATATGCCACTTTATGTTGGTCTATCACATAAAATCCCAATAAAATACATTTACGTTTTTGGTTATAACATGACAAAATGTGGAAAATTTCAAGGGATATGAATACTTGTAGGCTTTTAGCAGCTTTTAGTGACAGGAGAGTCCTAAATACTAGGCGTGTTTAGCACTTCAGCAATTATTCATCTCAGTAGCCAGAATAAATTAAAATTCTGGCCAATGAAATAAACACCCAAACACCAAATGCTGCCAAACTCAACTAAATTCTGCTAAACTGATTTGAAAAAAAAAAACACAACTTAGGTGAGTTTTTAATGCTGATTTTCTCCTGTCAGGAGAAACAGCTTTTTACAATAAACCAGTGTGCATGAGCTCCTGGGTAAAAGTTTTAAGTTTTTAAACAGATAACTTAAATGTGTTATTACTAAAGTATATGCCGTATGTTTTCTGTTTAACATTTAATACAGGACAGACCCATGGCAGAGCATTTTCAAAGCACTATGGGTTTTCTAAAGGCAGAGTACAGTAGAGGTTGTAGCCTTTCACTTTTTTTTTATTTGCACAATGTTTAATATTGTTTAAATATATTTTTAAAAAAAAATAAGAAAATATATACAATAAGATGGAAAATAGATACAATACCACTGTACATTCGTCAGTTGTATTCACATTTCTTTTTGGATTTTCAGGTTTTGGCTTATTTATTATTGTTATTATGTTGAAGGGTGCAAAAAAGAGTGCTTTTAATCAAGTTGGTTTGCAATTCTAGGGGAATATGGTATCTGTAATACAGTGAATGTGGCTTTCACAAAAAAATCACTGGTGGTGAATCAGTCATTGTCATCTAAGTCACATGAACCTAGAAGGTTCTTCCACAGTGCATGTTTTGTGAATGTCAGATTCAGTGCTTTGTGCCCATAAGAATTCTAAAACATTAGTTAGATCGTTTTTTTTTTTTAATAACCTTTCTTTATATCCAACAGGTAACAACCTAAAAGATAACAATATAATGAAAATACTCTAGGCAATTGAGCAGTCTTTTTAAAGATGACCTGACCCTTTTTACATATGAGGCAAACTAACAGGTTCTTTTTATAGCCAATCTTTTCTGCTAATATTTACCTTTCCCTTCCACCCTGCTCATATGCATAGCCCTGAGTAGGAAGCCCTGTGTAAGCTTTATGTTCCTCTGTGTCAGAGCTAAGGTCCTTTTCCTTTTCTGAATGAGATAGTATTTAGACTGAGAATTGGCTGCCCAGTTACTGATTAGCAGGAGAAAAGAGAGAAGGCCACGTGATCCTAATGCATGAAAGTACCAGGTTTTTCCAAGGAGTCCAATTAATAGTATTATAGAAGGTGGGTTTTTTTTGAAGAGAATCATTTTACTATGTTTCATTGACCTCCACCATTTATGGAGTAATGTGCTTATTTCCCACAAGATTATACAAACCAGATTTGAGTAAAATGTGTGAACGTTTTGACTTTAGTACAGTTGCTGTATTTACTGGAAATCCATCCACAGTTTTAAATATAAAGTGTTCCAGCAGTTGTTCAAATGTTTAACACCTATATTAAGAGTTTACAAATTTTAACTATTGAGTGTTCTTCATTTTAGGTGATTTCGTTTGAATAGTCTTTTGGGAAGGAAGGGCAGTTTTGGAAAAAATGAACAACTATTGGGATGTAGGTCAGTTCTTCAATGTGAGCATGCTGGCCAGTGACATCGGAAAAGCTGTACAGGCAGCCGAACGTCTTTTTAAGCTGAAACCTCCAGTCTGGTAAGCAATTATTAAAATGGGTTTGGTCTGGAGACATTGCAACCTTAGATGCCTATATTTAATACATATCTTCTCATTAGAAAGGTGACATTTACAGCGCCTGTACTATTTTAAACCTTTATGAGAAAATCCTAAAACTGGCTATAGATTGATTAAAATTCTGCTGTTTCAGCAGGAACTGGACAATTTTTGATCCTTGTATGACTGTTCCTGCTCAGTAGAAGTCTAACAATCTGCTTGTGTCGAACTGGAGTGTTAGAAAATGTTTCTCACTCACCAGGCTGCAACCAATTGACTGCAACGTAACAGTGTATTCTGACAGCAAAGGAGTTCCTGCTGTCAGAATAGAATAGCACAGCAGTGAAGATTCCTCCATCCTCTTTATTTGTGTGGATAAGGGAGTCACACCAAATTGTCCCAGGAGAAACCAAATTGTCCCAGTATTTCAGGTATAATTAATCTCCTGGCAGGTGATCTATGTGCCATTCTGAATCGTCCAAACCTCCTGCCCCAAGGGTCAGTGTTCCATTTTGCTTCTTGGTTGCTGACTTTAATGGCATGATTGTTGAAGCCATGGTTTTGAGAGAATCAGTCATCCCTTACCCTTTTGAAGGCTAGAAGGCTTGAAGGCTAGAAAGTCTATCTTCACACCAGGAGAGCTCATTTTTCCTGGTGCAAGATAAGGAATTTTCAGCCTAGAAAGTACTTTGTGGGTAGAATTCTGTTCCTCCTCCAATGTGGTCTGGCCTTAAATGCTATTAAGGGGAAATTTTTGCCTTGGCCATTCTGTTTCAGGAACTTTGGTTTTGATGCATTTATTTAGAGAGTAGCTCACATCTCTCCCCCTGTTCATTCCCCTGTGGCCCCTTGGGATCTCATTCTTGTTCTCTTGGCTCATCAGAAGCCACCTTTTGAATCTATTTGGAATATTCCCTCATCTGACCTTACCTGTAAGTTGCCCTTTTTTATAGCTATCACCTCTGCAAAAAAAAAATGATTTCGTTTTTGGATCAGGCTGGTTTCTTTAAATGTGGTAGATGTTTTAGCCTGTAAAACTATGATGAGTAGAAACAATAGAACACTGAACTTTCAATCTCAGACGAAGGGAGAAAATTTCAAAATCAAAAAATGTATCTCACGTGGAAGCACTCATGTCACCTATCTATTAGAGTACCCTTGCAAATTACAGTATGTAGGGAGGACCACGAAAAAGCTGGCTGTGCATCGTAGTGAACATTAGGAATATTTAAAAAGGTTTTAAACACCATAGTTAGGTTATGTGATTTGTAGCTTTGGAGTAGCGCTGCATCATTTCCTTTTTTATCCTATTTTATTTTGATCATTTGGTATATGATTGGATGTTAGCAGCTTCTCCCTGTTATTTGCATTTATCATAGGTAGAAGCTCAGGAGGTTTACACCATCATTTCCAAAACACCATAGTCTCTCTCATCATTTTAGGGTCTTTCATAATAGGGATCCGTCCCTTTGAAATTCTGTGGGATAGATCAAGTAGCACCCCACTGGTGTGGGGGAAATATAAAGAAATGTATCTTACAGAATGAAACCCTTGGATCCTTAAATTTGACACTGAAACCCTTAAGGGGTTAAATATAGATATTGATTTAAATTGTTTTCTTCTAATTAGTAAGAATTATTGTTCAGAAGAGAGAATAATGTTTTAATGTATAATATGTTTAAATTATATTTTATTTTATTTTAAATTCATTTTTATTTTATTTCATACAATTTTAAAAACAATTTTATTTGGATTTAAATATTTTCTGCCCGTTTATCGGGCTTTGAAGTTTAATATGTTCTTAATTAGCGGGCTCCCCTCGGTTTATGTGATCTAAGTTGAGTACACCAGGAAGCACTGTATGGATGGATGTAATTGAAGCCTAGTAAACAGGCATAAAAGTGAGTGCTAAAAAATGAGCTGCTGTACACCGAAAGGCACCAACAACCTCCAAAGACCAACTATTGAATAAATGCAGCGCTAAAACATCAATTCAATAAATATGATTAATATCAATATAAAGTGCAAATGTCAACAACCTGAGAGATAAATCTATCAACAAAGGTATGTCAAAAATGACAATATAGCCAGTGTGTATTCCTAATAGCAAGAAAATTAATAAAGTGACAGTAGTGCAAACGCACATCCAAAATGGTGACTGATGGTGCCAAAGTGACAAAGTCTATATAATATTCAAAGGATGTGAATCTTCTAATCAAGTGATCCACTGTGCATCTTCTGGTGATCAAATATTCGAATTACACACTCACCAGATGCATAATTTCCATCATGCATTTGAGAAAATATCACATCTCAGTGGTCAGCTGGATCCTCTTATGGACTCCTCTATCCTGGTAAGGACTTCCCTCTGGATCATCAATGGGATGTAACACCTCTCAACTCCTTTCTAAGTGGGCTCTGTGGGTGGTAGGGTCAACAGGGGCCCCAAGAAAGGATGCCAAAATGGTGTGATATCGTTTGAAAAGGGATATTTATTGATCCATAGCAGGAATAGACAAACAGTATAAAACAGACTGACCATGAGTTGAATCAAGATGGCCGCTGGATCAGCATGGGTCTCGGCGGCGTGACATCAGGACACTGCTGCTCTTCTCTTACGCGTTTTGTGCTCAAGCATGTATTCATAGGGGTGTGCCTGCGAACATCCGATGTCTAATGTGTCTACTTTATAGCCAGCAAATGGCGCGCGTATTATCGTGTCCACCATCTTGCCGACTATTTCGCGCATGCGCGGTATGACCTGTGCCATATTTTCCGCTGTTTTGCGCATGCGCAGTGCATCGATGCCATTTTGTTGTAGTCACAGCTTTCACATATGACGATGCCAGATGCGCACGCATTAAGGGGCTATAACACTGATTATTACTATGCGCATTACACTATGATCACCAGGGAACTGACAATAGAGTAGAATTTAAATTTACATACGAGTGTTCCTATATATAAGCAACATAAGTTGCCAAGCAAAAGGGGATAATATTATCTATATAAACCCATGTACATTTAATTGTAAGTCCTTCCGTCTTGTCGGAAATCCCTGCGCATGCACAGTAACCCGCACCTTGAGTGCATACTTAATCAAAGCCAAAGATGATTATTAAATGTATGCATCAATATAATAACGGTTTCAGGTCATTTCATAATTGAAACCCCAGAGTTATAATACTCCAAACACAGAAAGGGGGGGGAATGAAATGGTGATCAGCAGCAATGTCATGAGATGAGTAATAATCATATATAATATATTATAAAATCATGGCCAATACAACATAAAAAACTATCATAATGATATTAATTAAAGTCGAGAAAATGGTAAGCATACAATATAGTAAAAAGATAAATGATATATATATATGAAATTGAAGTAGAATAAGATAACACCAATAAAATCAAATAAAATAAAATTGTGCTTTACAAAAACTAAAACGGAGCCCATGAAATGAACTAGTAGGATTGCGATGACTTAGACCGGGGTTGTCAATAAAAATAAATGTAAAAGAGAAGCCAGATAGATGATTCCTATAAAAATATGCATCTAAAATAAATTACTAAAAAATAGAATAGAATAGAATAGCCATAGAATCAAAAATTAATAATGTATTAAAAAATGTATATATAATCAGCATGATAAGAGAGTAATGGTGGAAATATCTATGTTAAAATTAAAAATATAATATAGTTTTAACTGTTATCTATAAAAACGGTTAGTATTGAACTCGACATTGAGCCCTCTTGGGTATAGAGTATCAAGTTCAAATATCCATTTCGATTCTTGTTGGGAAACTGCTCACTTTTTATTCAATCCTCTCCAATGTTCTTTGGTGATATCAATGCCTACAAATTTTAATGAGGAAGGGTCCCTGTTATGACAGAGACGATAATGTTTAGACAGGGAATGCTCTTTATAACCCTTTTTGATGTTAGTCACATGTTCCCTTAGGCGATCTTTCAACTTTCTTATGGTTCGACCCACATACTGTTTTTTGCAAGGACATTGGAGTAGGTACACTACATGCTTACTATTGCACGCAATAAAATTGTCAATAGTATACGTTCTACCTGTTGACGTGCAGATAAAGGTATCTGTTCTCTTTTTTCTAATCTTATTACAGAGACAAATCACACATTTATTACAGGGAATATAGAATGGAATCTGATAGATTAAAAGCACACATGGCACATTTAGAAAAAGAACAAAGAAATAAAAAATGTAAAAAAATACACCCGTGATTTTAAGGATTATCAGGAACACCGCGTTTTCAAATGGCACTTGGTAAAGGAAGACACTTCTACTGTATCTACATCTCATGGCACCTCTTTACCACCTCCCAAGCCTCAGAGATTTCCAAGGAGATCTAACGGCCCACCACAGAGGCGCTTAAGGACGCAGAGTCAATATGAATCCCCAATGAGGAAACAAAGTGTTAATGAATATAACGTACCAATAAACAACAGATATGATGTCTTATATCTCATTACTGATAATAATATAGGTTCACGTACCTATAACCAACAACATGGTCAGGCCAGAACGAGACCTAACAATTATCATCAACACAATTATAGGCCTTACACACAATTCACATCTCCGAGGATTCAGAGAGATGCTCCTTATAACCAGTATAGGAGGAACCCTGCTCCCAGAACCCAATCTCAACAATTTAGAACCAGCCACAATGGCCCTCCAGTATATAATTCTGATTACAATTAAAACGCAAATAGGAATGAGGAACATACATCTGCCCATTTTTTAGAAGCAGGCCTTTGCAGAGGAAAAAGGGGAGGCAAAAGTGTTAATAAACCTGAAAAAAAGAAAGTTATAAACGGGACTGGTATTTACAACTTAAGTAATGTGGAATTATGATCGGATGAATTAAATTTATTGGATAAAGGACTCAAATTTGCGCCTAAAACGGCCCTCAATACATTCCAAACCTATATTGACATACGCAAGTTTGTCG